AACCGGTTTGGCTCAGTGGATAGAGCGTCGGCCTGTGGACTGAGAGGTCCCGGGTTCGATTCCGGCCAAGGGCATGTACCTGGGTTGTGGGCACATCCCCAGTAGGAGATGTGCAGGAGGCGGCTGGTCGATGTTTCTCTCTCATCGATGTTTCTAACTCTCTATCTCTCTCCCTTCCTCTCTGTAAAAGATGAATAAAATATATTTAAAAAAAAAAAAAAAACAAAGTAGGAAAAGTAAAATAGGTTATTTTGGTAAAGAATTCACTCTAAGATTATAATTTTCCATAGGGGCCCCAAAGATCAGCTTTGTAGTAAATGGAAATTATATTTCGTGGTCTTCATTTACTAGTAAATGCTTCCTAATATATTTAGTGAATGAAAACAGATTTAGAATTAATAATGGTTTGATTGCTATATGTACTAATCTATCTACTGCTATCTCTGGCTTCTTTTTTTCTGAGGTCTGAACTTCATGGGTTTCCAAAAATCTACTTTTAGAAAAGTGGTAGATCTCTTGATCTGATAGGAAAATGCTTTGCTCCAGAGTATTGAAATCTTCTTATCTTCTGTTGTAATGTTCATAAGTTTCACCTGTTAAGGACAAAAACCTTTTGGTAGGTAAAAACAAACACACACATATATACATACTTTGTGTCTTTTACAGTAATCATTGTAGGTCACACAGACTTATTTCATCGAGGCTGCTTTGAGCAAAATCCTTTTTCTCTTTCTCCTTATGAACTTTATTTGGGTTATATGAATATCATATCTTCATTTGTTGGGATAATTTTATTTATTTGGAAATAGCCCAGTCATTTGGAATCATATTATGAAGGTGGACATTGGGCTTCTGTTCAAGATGGCACCATAGGTAAATGTGACACTCACATCCTCTCACAACCATATCATAATTACAACTAAACTACAGAAAAACCATTATTCACAACTGCCTGAAATCTAAAGGAAAAGAAGTCCTATAAAGAAAAGGCCACAACAAGGCTGGTAGGAGGAGCAGAGACCCAAATAGGGAAGGTCCCATACCTACGTGTGGTGATTAGAATTTGGGAGGGGTTTCTCAGCTGCAGAATTTCCCCCTGAAGAGCAAGGAGTATCAGCCCCACACCAGGCTCCCAGCCCAGGGTTCCAGTGCCAGGAAGAGAAGCCCCCATTAACTTCTAGCTGTGAAAACCAGTGGACAATGTGAGTGAGTGAGACAGAGTCTCCTGGAGTCCCAGGCAGTTCCTCTTAAAGGGCCTGAGCATGGATTTACTCACTTCCTGTGAGCTCAAGCATTGGGGCAATAGGTCAAAAGGCTCCAGGGACATATCGAGAGAAACTGAATTGTCTGGCATTTGGTTGAGGACTGGAGGGGCAGCTTTCTCCCAGACAGAAGTGCTGGCACAGGCCATTGTTCCTCTGCTGAGCCCTCTTGCCACAGATCCAGCAAGTGGGTGCTGTCTGGAAAAGCCTTTTCATGTGAATGGCCTGTCTTGGCTCATGTTTCAGATTTTCCTAAAATCTCTCAAACAAGCAGCATCTGGACTTGGCATGCCCCATACTTCTTGAACTTAGGGGAAGCGTAGAGGAACTTAGTTAGAACTTCAACGAAGAGATAGGAAACATAAAAATGGAAATAGAAAACATAAAAAAGAACCAGTCAGAAATGAAGAATACATTAGATGAAATGAAGAATATATTCCAGGGGATCCCCAGTGGAATAGATGAGACAGAGGACTGAATCAGAGATTTGAAAGAAAAGGAAACAGAAAACACCCAATCAGAACAGCAAAAAGAATTTTTTAAAAAATGAGGATAGTTTAAGGAGCCTCTGGGACAATTTCAGGTGTATCAACATTCACATCATTGGGGTGCTGGAAGGAGAAGAGAAACAGCCAGAAGTTGAAAACCTATTTGAAAAAATAATGACAGAACACTTTCCTAACCTGTTGAAGGAAATAGTCATACAAGTCAAGGAAGCACTACGAGTCCCAAACAAGTTAAACCCAAAGAGGCCCACACCAAAACACATCAAAATTAACATGCCAGAGGTTAAAGACACAGAGAGGATCTTGAAAGCAGCAAGAGAAAAGCAATTAGTTACAACTACAAGGGAGCTCCCATAGACTGTCCACTGATTTCTCAACAGAAATTTTGCAGGTCAGAAGGGACCTACAACCAAGATTAATCTATTCAACAAAGCTATCGTTTAGAATCAAAGGACACGTACAGAGCTTCCCAGATAAGAAAAAGGCTAAAGGAGTTCATCACCACCAAACTTGTGTTACATGAAATGTTAAAGGGTTGTCCTTAAGAAGAAAAAGAAAAAAAGGATAAATAATGTGAATAATAAAATGTCAATAAATACATATCTATCAACAATTAAATGCAAAAGGATTAAATACTCTATCAAAAGACATAGGGTGGCTGAATGGATAAGAAAAGAAAACATGATGAACTTTCCATATGCTGCCCATAAGAGACCCACTTAGATCAAAAGACACAGTAAAACTGAAAGTAAAGGGATGGGAAAAGATAGTTCATGCAAATGGAAACAACAATAAAACAACCTGGGGTAACAATACTTACACCAGACAAAATAAACTTTAAAACAAAGGCTACAACAAGAGACTAAGAAGGACCCAGCACATCTGGATATCTATCCAAAGACACCACAGCACTACATTGAAAAGACATATACATCCATATGTTTACTGAAGCATTATTTACAACTAGGAGCCCAATGCACGAATTTGTGCACCTTGAAAGGAACTGTGGGGTGTGTGTGCAGGGGCTGGTCTCGGCCCATCCTCTGTGCCCCCACCCGGTCCCTCCCTCCGTGGACCCTGGTCCCCTCTCTGCTGGCAACCCCGCTCCCGCCACCATTGCTCCCATGCGCTGATGGCACTGGCCCCAAACGCTACACACCATCAGCGGGTACAAACTGGGCTGGCGCCATCAGTGGGTGCGAGCAGTAGCTGCTGCCCTAATTGCCCCTCAGGAGCCAAGGGAGGTGGAGAAGCCCTCAGGGGTGATCTGGGCTGGCAGCTGCCACTGCACCCATTGATGGTGCTGAGCGATCAGGACCGGCGCCAGGCGCCGGCAATAGGTGCAAGTGGCAGCTCTGGTGCTGGCTGCAGGTGCGAGCAGGGCCTGCACTGGCAATGGGTGCAAGCGGCAGCTCTGGGGCCAGCAGTGGGTGCAAGTGGGGCCCTCGCCGGCAGTGGGTGTGAGAGGTGGCTGCCAGCCCCGATCGCCCCTCAGGAGCCATGGGGAGGTGGAGAAGCCATTGAGGGGCGATCGGAGCTGGCAGCCACCGCTCGCATCTGCTGATGGTGCTGAGCAATAGTGGCTGGCGCCAGGCACCAGCAGCAGGTGCAAGCGGGGTCAGCGCCAGCAGCAGGTGAGAGCGGGGCCAGTGCCAGCAGCAAATGCAAGCGCCGGGCAGGACTGTAGCATGTGGGAACAAAGAATTTTCAGTAACCACCAGAGGCTCGCCCCGATGACAGTGACCGGTGCCCCACCTTGGTCTGGCACCCCAGCTCACCTGTTTCACTATCCCGCTGCGGCCAATGCCCGCCATGTTCTGTGCTCTGCCGCCTGCTGCCAATGGCTGCCATGTTCCGCATGTGCCCCCTGGTGTTCAGCGCACGTCATAGCTACTGGTTGTTTGGTTCTTCTGCCATTCGGTCTATTTGCATATTAGGGTTTTATATATATAGATAGCTAAAGTATGGAAGCAATTTAAGTGTCTATCAGATGAATGGATAAAAAAGAATAATAAAAGGCTAATATGCAAATTGTCCCCTCGACTGGGAGTCATATAATGGAATATGACTCAGCCATAAAAAAGAATGAAATCTTGCTATCTGAAACAATATGGATGGATTTTGATGTTATTGTGCTGACTAAAATCAGAGAAAGACAAATGCCATACAATTTTCCTTACATGTGGGATTTAAAGCACAAAATAAATGAACAAGCAGAACAGAAAAAGACTCCTTCATACAGAGAACACTTCAGTGGTTGCCAGAGGTGAGGGGCTGGGACACTGGATGAAAAAGTGAAGGGATTAAGAAGTACAAATTGGTGGTTACAGAATAGTTACCGGGATGTGAAGTACAGCATAGGATGTGAAATGTAATTGAAAAATAAAACACTATTTTTTTAAAAAGTAGACATTGTAGTTGTGGCTTAAAAAAAGAGAAAGCCTGGGTATCACTAACACGCTGGGTGTAGGTGTGGCTCACGGGCTGTCATGAAGGAAGGGTAAATGGAGTGATTCAAGGGGTGCTGATTTTTTCACAGCAGCTATTTTGAAAGATAATACACATTTAAATTTTAAATCTATAAAATCCACTGATTTTTCTAGAAAGTTTTCACCTTATAAGTTAAAGTCTCACCATTTGCAGACGGACAGGCTGATGAGCAGCACTAGGGCAGGGGGAACTGGGGTGCTTTGGGCCTCATTGGCCCTGAAGAACTGAGCCAAAACATGAAGCCAAAGTCCACTTCAGTGTGGGGTGGGTGATGGGAGTAATTAGGCCTCAGTGTGGTGGGCTTTGTGTGGGGTTTTTTTTGGCTTTAAGAGTTGAAAATCCTTTTTAAAATGTTTTTCTGACTTACTCTCTTGTGTTTATACCTTTTGCCTCTTGTCTCATTGGAATCAATAACTGGGTTTTTTGCCTTCCTATTTTGGCCACCTGGGGCATTCTACCTTTTCTGGTTCCTTTTTGCAACGGAAAATTATGTTTTTAAAAACTATTTAGGCTCTAGTTATTGCACATGCTTGCTTCTGCTTGAAGTTTTTACCAAGCAGGCAGGACCAACCCATACTTTTAACGGCTTAGAGGCGTATCTTTTTAACAAATATCTCTGCAATGTGGGAAATTCAATATGCCTTCAAGTATGGGAATCCAGATCAACAGAAATGAACGCATTTAAAATATGTTATAAATATCTTGCAGTGAGTGTTTGATTGGCCTGCAATCCTTTCTTTAGATGTTTTGATGCAACCGCATGATGCAGCGCTGACATCCTGACTGCATGCTCACCCACCCACTCACTGGATCGATCGCGGTTGCTGCTCCACAAGGAGTATTGATGGACAGCTTAAATACTTCTCATTTTGAAAAGTGAAGCATGAGTAATTAAGCGATGCATCTCAAAGTTGGATACCAGGTTTTTACTCAGTCCAGTAATGAATAAAAAGTGCATTAACCAAATTAAAACTCTTACATGTCTATATATTGGCTATTGATGTGTCTTTGTGAATTTCATTACAGTATACTGGCGTCTTGTTTATCAAAGAGCTTCCCAGAAATTTCCCTTGATTTAAAGCTTTTTGTTTACATCTAAATTGGTTAGGGGAAATAATCCTGTGACAGTTCATCTTTCTCACTAATTTGTGTAAGATAATCCTAATCTTCGGTGACTCAGAAATGTACAAACATAAACAGGCCTTTTCTCTCAGTTGTGCTCAGTATACAAATATTCTCTCAGATTCTGTTCTGTATCAGTGACTATGGGAATCTTTAAAATGGTGTTCTGCTAAAGTGAATGGGCATCTACTAATGTCTGTTCATCTCAGCAGGGGATCCATATGTATGTATGTGTATGTGTATTTCCTTCACAGATATACCTGAAATAAAATTTTGAGGTTAAATGATGCTTATTGCTGAAAGTTCTTTGATGCATGGGAAAATGATGTGATTGAAATTAGATATTACGCTGCCTGAAATTTTACATTATATGTTCTTCTATTTCTCTTGTAACAGAATTGGAACAGAACTAAATATCCTGAAATGAATGACCAGTCTGTTTTCAGCTCTAACATGAGTCACTAGTAAACCATTGAGGGCACCCTTGGTGCATCACCTCTTCGAATGTTTTAGAAATGGGTTGTTGCTCCTCCAAAAGACATTGGCAGTCAAGATGCTGGTTCCCTATTAGCTGGAGAAAATACAAAAAGGAGAGCGCTAGGTGGTGGAAGGAACTAGGTTTTAATAGGACTTTAAAAAATACCTCTTCCATTGTGGCCAGCCAATGCTCTATTTTTTCTTTATCTCGTTGTGCTGTGACTCCAAGCTAGAGGAGAGAAAAGATTCAGAATAAAAGTGTGGATAAGAAGCAGAGACCAAAAGAACAAAAAAGCAAAAACTGACTAGAGGAGGCAGAGGACTGCAAACACAAAAAAATGAGAGAAATTTCAAGGACAGAATTGGATGGATACAGGTTGAAACCAGTGAGAGAGAACAGTTCTTTCTGATAATGCCTCCTAGGTTGAGGTCTGTGTACTTAACCAGAGACTTGTCAGAGCTGGAAGGGACCCATGAGCAGGAGTCTAGATAATCTTCTGGCCCTTTTGGGGGTCGGATGGCAGGTGAGGCTAGAATCAAATTTTTTTCTATCTCAACATCATCTCCATTAAGCACTTGCCAAGGAGTGACTTGAGGGCTCCAAGTGATTTGGATTCCAGTGTGTCTCACTTACCTGAATGAATTCTCATCTCACCAGTTGAGCTTCTGTGTCTCCTGTAGTGTCTCTTTCCTGCATCGGGAGACAGGCCGCGAAGTCTTGGATTGCGGCACCAACTTTCAGGAGTAGTCATTTCTCACTCTCATCTCTGACCAGAGGCGGTAGGCTGATAGGTTTCACTCCATCGTTTCCATAATTATTGTGCACAGCTATAAGCACAAAGGCAGTGATCTCATGGTATCAGGTAACCTGAGTACTCCACAAATAAGGACAAATGCTGACTTATGAAAAAGACCTATAAAAATTTAATAAAGTGGAGCTTTTTATTTGTTTTATTTTCTTTATTTGAGTTGTGAATGTGAATATATTTGTTACCCATTTTATTATTTTTATATGTGTATGTAACAAGGGTTTACTTATCTTGGGCAGTTTTAATTCTTTCTCTGTATACCTGTTTGAAGCATGATACTCAATCAGATTATTTCTTTGATAATTCTAAGATGAAATGCATAGCAAGTGATATGTCATTTTTAGCACAGTCTCTATTTAAGGTTTTTTCTTTGAAGCCAGGAAGTTTGAACATAAGCTGTTTATGATGCTATAGTTATATCTCTTCCGAAAGAAAACCACATTGTATTAACTTTCGAATAGTGTATTTTTATCAAAGCATTTGATCCTTGTTTTTTGCAAGATAATCCCAAGAACTTTTTATTTTGAGAATAGAAAACCATGATGGATTTAATTCATAAAGAGAAGCTGCTGCAAGGAATGTAAATGTAAGCACTTGATAAGGTAGGATTTCCTAGTTGCTATGGCAACCTTTGGGTCATGAGCCTGAGAAAATATAAAATAAGTCCTGAAGCTGTGAAGATGATTATAAAATTTAACTGTCATTCTTCATTTAGAGTTGATGGCAAACATTATTTACTTAAGTTTATCTCAAGGCAAGTGAGGATCTGTTTTTAAAAATCTGAGACTCAGATCACAAATGAATCCATGTTGCACTTGTCTAACATTATAAAGCACATGCAGCATTTATTATTCTAAACAGACTATTTGTACATAATATCCCTGTAGATTTGGTCACCTTCGTATGGAAGCCAACAGTTTTTGTCTCTTGAATTCCTAATGAAAGCTGGAGAATGCAGCTGTATACATTGAGTAATTTTGCAAAAATGTGTGTGCTTTCTGTGCCAAAAAGAAGGCCTAGGGGATGGTGTAGGAAGGAGGCCTTTGTGCCTTCTTTTCAGGTTCAAATAAAAATAAACTGTTCCGTATGGACCAGTGCCAGGAAGGGATGTTAATACAGCAGTATATTTTCAAAATATCTAACAACCCTAGATGAAAGAGGTAGGCTGGACTCTCTCTCATGCATGTTGCCCCTCCGGCCAGGGCGTGGTGTGGTAAAATCCCCTTCTCTACTAGGAGAAGGAATTGCATACAAGGTGTCAGATTTCTAAATTGAAATATCATGCTTAACTGTGCGCTATGACAGTTTCAGTTTTTCTTGCTTTATCTTTTACAGAATGCTGTTAATTTACCCTAATAACCTATGAGACCCATTACAAATCATCCAATCTTGCAAATTTGTGAGTGTGTGGACAAACACTGTAAACTATCAGATACCGCATCAGACAAATGCAGTTTATTGCAGGAAGGAAAATAGACTCGCATGTGGAGAGGGAACACATTTTTACGACCAGATAAGTGCTTCCTTGTCGTCTGCTTGCCCGTCGGGAGCGTCAACGCGTTGTATGGTCTGCAGCAGCCAGTGCCTTACTGGCTCTTGAGCAAAAACATCGTTTTTTTAAAAGCAGGCACAGAACCTCAGTGATTACATGCAAGCTGATAGCTGGTATGGAATTTCCCCATATCCTTTGCCTCCTTAAAAAACTCCTCTTTCCGGCTTTGCATGCTGAACCTTTACGTTAAAAAGCAGCAGCATTCGCGGTTATTAAGAATAAAATGCACACCTGCCAGCTTCCTGCACCGCACCCCTTTGCGTCCGAACCTGGGGATTGTCCCGGCCTCCCTTTGGGAAGATGAGGTAGATTCCTGCCCACACACCCAGCAGCGTGCACTGCTCATCAAAGCCCTTTGCTCAGTTGGATTGTTTCATGTCTCGCAGCAGAAATAGCTGCTCTTTTTCTTTTCTGTTTTCTTCAGGCATCTTGTAATTGCAGCTGCTAATGTGTCTTCCTTCTGAGCAGCACAGAGATGGCAGCCGTTCCTGCTCACACACAGCCTAGCTCCCAGCGGGACCCAGTGATGAGCTGGCGCCCCACCATTGCCCTCTCCATCGCCCCGTCCCTTCATCATCAGGCCTGACCTGGTCTACCAGCTTCCCCTTCCTTCTTGCCACTGGCCCATGTATTCTGCCTGGCTCACTAGCAGCAGCTGCCGCAGCATCAACCAGAGCAGCAATGAGCATTTTTAAATGCTGAGTATGTGCTAGGCACTGTGGCGAGCTCTACGCTGTTTACTTGTGTTTGCTGAAGGCTTTACCCGACATAATTTATATACATACGTCCATACACATTTTAAATTTTACTTTAAAATCATCATCTCGTGAGATTTCCATGTTTGTGTTTTTGTGCGGCTCTGAGTTCTAACAACGTGTGCATGTTTTCAAGCCACGGGACAGTTTCATCACGCCCCAGATGCCCTTGTGTCCTGTGATAAGCATTTCGAATGCATTTGCTATTCAGTTCTTATAATGTTCTGTGGTATATGTACTATTATCTCACGGTTTTTTTACTTTTTAATTTAATTTTAATTTTTTTTGGTGAGGAAAGTGAGACTCAGAGAAAGTAAGTACCTCAGTCACGGTTGTGGCCCAGACCAGGCCCAGAACTTGAGCTTGTCCACCCTGTCCCGCACTACCGCTCACAAAGGCGGCTCGGCGCTAGATGGCCAGTGGAGCACGAGGGTCTCCGTGAGATTTTAAAGGACAGACTGTGATGTTGCATCTCGCCAAGGATCACAGACATGTCTGTGTGATGCACTCTCAAAAGTCATTAGCAGACTCGGGTTTTGTTGGTGTTTTATTTTGTCTTGACTTCAGGTAAGACTGGTGAGAGGATGGAATTGACCAGTCTCTTGGTTCAGCGGGGAACCATTGATCATGAAAGCTTTTTGGACGACACTTTCCAACCCCCGTGTCTCATTGCTGTCATGCCATTTCCCCGCAGGCTGTTTCATGCCGCTGCGCGCAGAAACCGAAGCTGGGCTTTTCCATTAGCCTTGGTCAGCTCACGCGATCCCATCTCTCTTCAAAAATAAAACCCATTTCAGTAGCTGTGGGCTCTTCTGTGCGGGTGAATCAGCTGCAGGAATAATAACCAGAATCTTTCACCCATGCTTTCACTCCAGTGTGCTGATGCTCCAGTCGTCCTAAATATCAGTGTGGAGTTTTGCTGTAGAGAGGGATTCTTCTGCCACCGTTCAGTGTAAATCCCCTGAAGTGCAAAGGAAACTGTGGGCAATACAGGAAGTGCTGAGGCTCTGACCCGAGGGGAAACGGAGGGGGATGGGCAAAATGCTTCGTCCAGGGGAAAGCAGGCGCCCTAGGTGGGCAGAGGTCCAGTCCCAGCACTGCCCCGGGCTAGAGTGGCACCTGAAATCGAGTGGACGAGGATAAGCGATTTTGTGACCAGAGCCTATGCATGTGCCTCGGGTTTCACGGTGGTGGCCGTAATCAGTGATGATCGTGCAGACTCTGAGGAAACAGCCCCGCATAACCTCGTTTCCTTTTCTGATTTCCTTCTCCTGGTTTTGCTTCTGACATAACCAGATCTGGGCTGTTGAGACACATTGCTGATAAAAGATGCACCCCTTCGTACAGGCTTGGGAATATCACTTGGGAAAGTTTTGTTTGAAGTGCTCCTCAGGGCAGGCCGGGCATCCTACTTGCTCTGTGTATGCACTTACCTGTCCTGAAGGAATAAGATCCACCTTCGTTGGAATGACAAAAGGGAGGAAGCCAGGCATCCATGGGAAATTGTGTTTGGGGGTTTTGATCCCTTAATTTTATTCTTCTCAAAGCAGCATCTGTTTTTGAGATGAAGATGTGGGCATTAAAAGCCTAAACACCAGTAAAAGAGTTTCTTTCTTCTATTTGTGACCATTTGTGAGGAAGAGGGGAGGAATGCTGGCCATCACTTAGCTGAGGGAGCCCCTGAAAGTCTT